TTTTAATAGCAATGCTAACTTTTTTAACATAGCATAGTTTATTTATTTTTAGGTTTCATTTGTCAGTCTTTTTTATTAGCTTTTATTATTAATTATTTCTGTTTTAAGATAGAGTCATTCAGGGAACATCCACTGAATACTGACTATATAGCTAGGACCACTATCTGTGGTTTAACTAAGAGACTAAAAGTGTGTATTTCTCCCCTTCACTTTAGCATGTGAAACTGTCTTTGACCCAGCCCCTCTGTAAGTTTCCAGCTAGAGCTCCTTCAATTCTAGTTCTCCACACACGATTCCCATCATGAAGGCTGGTCCCTCTGACCTGGTGCATGCTATCTTTTTTACCTAAAATTGTTTTATCTCCTACATCCCTCCCCCCACCACAATCTAGTCAGTTAAACCCAATTCAAACTTTGGAATTCAGTTTAAGGTCGCCTCTAGGAAGTTTGTTTATCCTATCCCCCACTCAGACTTCTTTAATTCTCTAGAGACTGACTTTCTAGAGGGCAGAAATAAAATCTTAACTGTTTTTCTGACCTTGGGACTCAAAGTAGTACTTAGTATATAGTAGAGTTCCAATAAATAACTGTTGAAAAAATGTTTCAGGCACAGTGGTAGCAAACCTCTCAAGTACCTGGCAAGAAAGTCAAGGCATGAGTGCAAATATTAAACACCTGGATAGGATTTATCTCCAGATAAGACAGGCATGTTAGTTTCCTAGACCTATGATTACCATAAACACAGTGGTTCCTCACAGTTCTGGGGCAAGAAGTTCAAAATCAGGGAGGTGGCAAGACCATGCTCCCTTCAGAAGGGTAGAATTGTTTCTATGCCCTTCTCCTAGCTCCTGATGACTGCTGGCAGTGCTGCTGCTCCTTGGTGTGTAGCTGCATTCTGTATTCACATTGCCTTCTCTGTGCTTCTCTTATAAGGATATGTGTGATAATATGTTTTGGCATTTGGTGGCCACTCAGTCTAGAAAAAACATCTCCTCTCAACATCTTTAAACTGACCACATCTTTGTCATATAAGGTGATATTCTCTCTTTTACCATGTGGGGTAATATACAGAGGTTCCAGGGATTAGGATGTGGATGTACAAATGTTCAGGGCCAGGAGTCAATCCATTTCAGTGGGTGTGTGTTAGTGGGAAATCCAAGAAAAGTCATGGAAATTCAAAAGAAATTCAAAGGTGATAGCCATATGATTATAGAACTTTAAGGTGTGAAGATAATTTGTAGTTCTCACTGCCACTCCTTTGAGGCCACACAGTGATACCAAACCACTTTAAGAAATAGCTACAGATGGGTAAGGATGAGTACATTTCACAGAAAGGCTGGTGATGAGGGCAATATTGGGCTTGAACTCTCTCCTCTTCAAACTTTGGTTTATTACTCATACTAGTTTTCTATCCAAAATGAATTTAAGAGAGATTAAATGAAAGACATATTACAGAACTTTCAACCATTATTTAACTGACAGCCTTTCAGTTTCTTCATGTACTCCTGCTGACGTTCTAACAGTGGAGATGCTAAAACCATACACTGGACAAAAGAAATATAAAAGCTAGGGGTTTCCCTCAATCAGAAAATATTGAGTAGCATCTGCTGTCCCCAAAATATTGCGAGAAGTACAAAGAAAAATTAGATATGTATTCATACTCAAGAAAGGCAGGTGGTCAGGTGACAAGCACAAAGCAGTGTGTCTCATAATAGTCCAAACAGAACATGTGAGACTTTAAAGCAGGAGAGATTGTTCTTGGCTGAAGAACAAGAAGGCTTCATGGAGCAGATGGCATTTGAATGGGGAATTGAAAAGAAAACACTTCAGAGAGTGGAACCAGAAGCGGGATAGGGTACCTTAAGCAGAAGAGAATATATTTTTAAAGTATGGAGGTAAAGCCTATAAATTGTATTGGAAGACAACAAAACATTTGAGGGATATGCAAGAGAATAATGGAAGATAAAGATGAAAAGAAAATTTGTTAAATGTGGTATTTGATTGTCAAGCAAATGATATCAACCTTATAAAATAGGCATGGAGTTGTCATTAAAGATATTTTGAATTAGGAAAAGATGTAATCAGAGTTCTTTGAGATTATTCTGGCAATGAAAGGGTGCATTAGAAGCAGCAGAGGATAGCTGCTCAAAGATTATTGCGATACTACAGACAAGAGCTAAATAGGGGTCTTGATTAGGAAAGCAGCCATGTGAAAGAAGTGAGAGCAATTTCAGACAAAACCCCAATAGGATATAAAGACCTCCTGAGTACATGGGATTGGAGATATAGTGATATCCGAGATGAGTGAGATTGAAATATGATAATGAAAAATAGCAAAACCATTGCTACTTGTAAAGTCAGGAGGAGGAACAAGTTTAACTGCAAAAATTATTAACTTAGTTTACGAGTTTTTAAGTTTCAAGAACCAGCAGGACATAATGATGCTAGGAAGAAAGGACATGTTTGGAATATAAATGGAAGAATCATTCCAATGGAAAAAATAATTGGAGTCACAGGTATTTATAATATCCCTAGAGGAGGGAGGGAATGTCCTAAAGCTGAAGGAATATCCATAATTAATGGGTGGTGGAAGAACAGATGATAGCCTAGGAGACCAAGACCAAGAAGTTATTTGATTAAAGAAGTAATGAGAATCCAAATGCTGAAGTGAACAGAATTTAAAGGAGAAGAGCATTTTGAGGAATGTTTATCAATATCAAATACTTCAAATTTCAAATGTGTCATCAAGGAAGTCATTTTCCCTTTTAGGGGGACAAAGGGCAAATCTAAGACTTTAAAGACTACTTGGAAATGAATGAGGATTGTAGATAAATTTTTCAAGAAGTGTGAGGATAAAGTATCAGAAGCTAGTATGGGAGGAGGAAATAGGGTCAAAAGAAAGTCAACGTGTTGAGGTGTTTGTTGGTGTTTTGTTTTTAGAATAAATGGTTATTTTCCAATCAACATTTATTTACTGCCTACATTGTGCCATGGTGTTACCTGGTGAGATTTAGAGATGATTAGAACTTGACCCTTACTCTCAAGCTGTAAGAAACTAATTTAGTAGAGAAAGCAGGATTGGCCATACACTATTCCACACAGTGTAGTAAGTGCAGCTTGGAGGTGAGCAGCAGGCTGCTAGATCTAGAATGCAGAGCAGGACAGAACTGGCTCCTGGACTCATGCTTTGGATTTTAAAGGAAGGTTAGAAGTTAGGCTGTATATTTAAACAAAGGAGTGGGGAAGGGCACTGAATTGTTTTCTACAAAGACAAAGAAACTAGTAAGAGAGGAAAACTGAAGTTAAGGAGAAAAAGAGTAAATAATGTCAGCTTGGTTCTGTGTAAGAGGGAAAGGATGAGATTAGTCAGGCTAGTAAAGGAATTAAGTTTTCCCAGGAGAAGGCAAGAAGACAAAAATTGATGAAGAAACAGGGTAATAGTGTTCAGGAAGCAAAGAAAAAAGCTGAAGGAACCAGATGTTCTTCCCTCTTTTTTTTTATAAAATGGAAGGGCAACCATCTTCTAAAAGGAAGCAGAGCTGGAAAGGGCAGAGAAGTGATGATTACTAGATTCATAGTCTTTTATTCTTTTTTCAATGAAAACATTTATTTACATCAAAGGTGGTCTGCGGCTCAATTTCTTCTTAATGCATGGAGTTTGAGAAGCAAGAGGTGCAATTTAGGTGCTGGAGATAACTGCCTGTGCGACTTGTCCGCTTCGCATGTTAAGATGTGATACGAGGGAGCTTCGGGTTGTAAATAGTCTCTCTGTGCCTACATCTGCTCATCTATAACTCAGGCAAATAGTAAATGCTAAAAAACTCCTTTAGACAAACCAAACTTAGCAGAGTTTAATTGAGCCAAGAACAAACAACTTATTAGTCAGGCAGCCCTCCGAACTCAGATTCAGAGAACCTGGCTCCTGAAAGGCAGCAGGCAGCATTTATGGACAGGAAGCACAAGTGAGGTACAGAAACAGTTCGATTGGTTACAGCTCTGTGTTTGCCTCATATGAACATAGTCTGATCACTGGCCAGCTGAGATTGGCTAGGGCTAGACTTCTGTGATTGGCTGAGACTCTGTTATTTGTTAGGCTTTCAGTTAGTTTACATACTAAAATAAGTTGCAGTTTATTACATATGGACTTGACTACAGAGGCATCCTCCAACCAAATTTAGTTTAATTTAACAGTACCTAACTCATAAGTTTGTTATAAAAAGTAAGAGAATTTATATATGGAAAGTGCTGAGGACAGTACCTGGTATATAATAGCCACTCAAAAATGTCATCTTGTGTTACAACTACATCGGTGCTATCTATTAGAATTTTCTGAGACGATAATGCCATTTTGTTGTCTAATACAGATATTACTAGCCTTTGTGGCCATTGAACACTGGGACTATGACTAGTGCAATGAAAATTTTAATTTTTATGCATTTAAATTTAAAAAGCTACTTGTTCCCCCACAGAAGATGGGCCAAACATTTTAAATAGAATTTTACTGATACCAAAATAGACACTGAGTTTCACTCCCCAAGGACCTTGGTCTTGAAGTCCTGCAGAACGGGGCCGCTCAATTAAAGACATGGCTGTAGCCCTTAGGATACAGATTCATTTTGTTGGTGCTGATGATTGAAGGTAGCATGGAAAAAAGATGTCCACACAGTTGCTCTGCTTTCAGAGGAGGTTTCAGTAACCAGTAGGATATTTGTTAGACTAACAAGAGGCAAGTGTATTCTCCCAAGGGAATACAACTGAGATTTGGCCAGCTTCCTGTTGAACTGGGTCAGTTCAGAGCCATTTAAAAGGATGACTGAGAGCAAAACTGAGAGCTGTTACACAGATGCATTCATGAGCGGTGTTAATGTTTGAAGACAACAGAGTAATTTCACTTCAGAGCCACCTCAGTCTCACAGCCAATCTCACAACCTGCAACGACACAAAATTCAGATGGTCTGCAGTATTGATAGAACACAAGGGGAGAGGGGAGGAAGGTTATCCATGAATAATGCATTTCCTTTTGTGGAAACAGGAGAAGAAGAAACAAATGGATCATTAATGGGCTTAATGCGATTAAGGTCCAGGGTGGAAGGAGGGCCAGCACCAGCTCCTGGCAGCAAGGCCACCAGCAAAGAGGCTGCTGTGAAGCAGAAGGGGAGGGTAGGAGAGGTGGCGGTATTATTTTGAAGTCGCTGCTTTTTCTTTCCAGTATTTTAAAGCCTCTTTTTGAAGTCAAGAGTAGCTGTTTTATCTCCATTTCTAGCATAGCATAGTGGTGGAAACATATTCCTGAGATTTTATGAAAAAATAGTATCACATTTGAAAAGCTGAATTAAGATAGTAGTATGAGGAAATGAAGGATATAGTAACCCAATAAGAGAATAGAAAGTAATTAAGTGAAGAAAAAACATTCCTGAGCATTGTCCCCCCCCAAAAAAACAGACACACAAAAGTTGCAAGTTATAGCTTGCTTTATGCAACAAAGCACTTTGCTATAAAGTAGTAGCACATGTTGATTTTTCCAAAATCAAATGTTTGAAATTCATTAACAGATTTTACAATGTAGAGGAATTCTGTGTGTTTAGTGTATGTGTACATCCTTTATGATATAAATAATCATACCTGATCACAATCCCACTGCGGGCATTTCTCCTGTTCTACAGAAGCTTTGGAGTCCAGCAGAACTGGGTTAAAGCCAAGCTTTGTTTCTTCTTGGTAGTGTGACCTTGGACAAGTTGCTTTACCTCTGAGCCACAATTTCCTTAACAGTAAAATGGCAACAATAACACAGACCACACAGAATGTCATAGAATTCAATGTCATGAGCAGCCTATAAAAAAATGCCTGGATCACAGGAAATGCTTCGTAAATGCTACTTGCTTCTTCATGAAAGGGTCAGAGCACGCACACCCTTGAGAGCAATAGGACTCCACAGGAGCCTGATGCTGGCAAGGGCTCATGTGATTATGGTTTAAGACACAGAAAACCAGAACTGCTGGCCCTAGCATTCCTTCTCCTAGAGACTCACACTTGATTGCTCTTTTGGGTCTTCAGGATAAATTGCAGAAATGAGTAGGATAAAGGAGTAGCTATTTCCTTGGACTCCACATAAAACTGTAACTTCAAAGAATGCTCCCTGAGGCCGTAACTCTGGCTCAAGCTGGCATAGAACTGGAACCCACCCTGACTCTATCTCCCATCCCAACCTTCAGCTTCAGGCTAGTACTGCTTGCCTTGAATTCTTAACTGGTCAGCTAAGCCTACTGTATTCATCTAAAACAAGGAACACTGCCTAGTCCAGTGATGGTGAATCTTTTAGAGGCAAGTGTCCAAACTGCAACCCCAAACCCACTCATTTATCACAAAGTCCCAATACTGCAATTAAACCTGAATACTGAGGTTTTAGTTTAGAAAAAACAACTCATATCTTAACATCTTCTGTCTTGGAAAAAAACCCACATATGCCATAGGTTCACCATCACTGGCCCTAGTCCATCAGACGGTAGATTTTTATTTTCAAGCATCATCTTTCCATTTTCACATTGAATAATGTGAACAAAGGAAACAGAGTTGTGTTTCAGAGAGGCAAACTCTAGTCTTGCCAGAGGCAGGCAATGAGACAATAGGCAAGGCTGACGTGAGCGGCACGGGGCTTTGGCATATGTCAAAAAAAGCCAGACAGAACTTGAAGCAGAGTTGCCCTAGAGTCAATGAAGTATGATCTGACACCAGGGCAGACAGAGGCCAGAGATCATGCACAGGCCCACCAAGCAGGGAGATCTCCAGGCAGACAGTTTTACTGTGGTCCTAGGTTTGTAGTAGAGAAGTTGACCTGGAAGCTTGTAACGCTACACTTTTAACCTCAGAGCTGCAACATCCCTATATTGACTCAAATTCCTGTGGAGCTCTCTAGATCCTAGAAGAACCACTGTATTTAAGTTCCAGTTCTAGTCTTGATAAAGTTGGAAGGTATTCTCATGTCCCTATGAGTCTCTAGTTCTGCTCAGTAAGAACAACCTGCATTAGCGACTGAAGCTTCAAAAGAATTGTATCTTCAAGGAAATATATCTTCATTATCCTCAGGAAATATATGAGTATTCAAATTTTCCCCAGTTCTCCTCTTTCTAAAGCAGGCATCAAGTATTAAACTAGAATCCCATAATAAAAAAGAGTTGGTCAAAGGATGCTAAACACTGACTTACTAATGTAAAACAATTATCTGGATAAATATGGAAAATGTTTGGAAAATGTTTGGAAAATAATAGAGGAAGCAAAGTCCTGTTGTGTATATAAAAGTCCTCCCTAACTCAGCCTTCAACATATGTCTGTGATCATGAGACTATGATAGGACAGCATGTTTGATTTTAGGATCTGGCCTTTACAGACATGTATCAGTCAATGATATGGACCTGGGGGGAGAAATTCCTTTGGTCCTGATCCTTGAAGATGAAACCTAGTGTTCTCTTAAGATTTCTATTAAGGAGAGCTTGATTATAAAACATAATTCACATTTAAGCCTTAAAATTCACTTAGAGATAAAAGATATATTTACAATCCTCTAAGAGCTATATTCTCTTTCTATCCAGTGCTTCAGTATTCTTCATAAGCAACCAAGAGTACTGCAACCTTCCACATGAAATGAACAAGACACTGAACAGCCTAAGCCTCCTTTCACTCCCATCTTCCATCCATGTGTGTTCAATCTGTGGCTGGTGCCTATTGGACACTCCCATGTTACAATAATAATTTTAAAATAAAATAAGCTTGTTAGTTATATGCATTAACTCTATTGTATATATCATCCAAGACAATTCTTCTTCACTCAATGTGGCCCAGGCAAGCTGCAGGCTGGAGGTTAAATTCTTAAAGAATTTCAGTCTTACAGTAATCCAGTGACATATAATCAGGCAGAGTATGCACATCTCCTTTTTCCTAGAAGACCTTTTAGAAAATGTGTATACTATCATGGATGGCTCATCAACCCTATCACCTTGTTGAATTTCCCAGACCCTTAAATTCTTTGTAAGAAGGCTCACATTCCTATGAAATACAAATAGCTCCATGGCAATGTTCCAAAGCAAAACTTCTTTTCTTTTCAAGGGAACTGGCACAAAAGGTCACTTTGTAATGTTAGAGCAAGAAAAGGAAAAGAAGGAAACCAGCAGCACAGATGTTCTATTTCCCTTTCAGTTGCAAATGCCTCAGCCATTTCTCTAGTGCTGATGGCAGGTAAAAGCTAAGTTACAGTAACAGCAAACACCTGTTGACTCAAGCTGCCTATACTTTATCCCAGAAGCATTGGCTCTTTCCCTTTGCTAATTGAATAATATCACGAACACATGTGGTCAGAGTAATTGCGAAGAAAAGACTAAAATTAAAGCCTCTGAAATAGTCTAAGGGTGCCTCCGTCATGCCACCATTTCTGTTCCGTAACAAATTCTCCTTTCCACTTCTTTTTGCTTATCTCTTTTCCCTGGTTTTTGTCTAAGCATTAAAGTAGATCTGTGGGGAAAAGGAAGCCTTGGCATATATTTCAAGGACCTAGAGCTGCAAAATCATCAGCTGCTTTCTACCCCTCTCAACACCTCTTTCCATGTACATCTCAATCCCCACTAGCTGTATTTACTGCAGGTGGTACACTTCATGCGCTTTGTAGAGTACATTTCTCTAGGAATACACTCCTTTAATTCATTGTTTTAATAACATATTTTTGTCAGTTTTATAACAAATTAATATATTAAAATGTTTTTTCACAAGTAATTTTGTACAACAAAATATACAAGACCCACTATCAGAATATTATTCATTTCTGGGCTATAAGAACTCAAAACAATTCCAAGGACAAATGACACTTCCTTGTTCACATCTGAAAATTTTTTTTTTTTTTTTTTAGTACCAGGGATCAAACTTGGGTCCTTGCGCTTGCACAGCAGGCAGAGAAACCACTGAGCTAAATCCCCGGCTGAAAAGTCTTTTTGTCTTAGAAATGAAACAGGACAATCTAGCCAGCCATTTAACTCAGAAGTGAACCTTGTACCAAAACTTGGCTCAAATCCCCCTTCTTACATTTAGCTTTGTTCTTTTATTTGTTTGGTTGGTTTGAGTTTGGTTGATTTTACTTCTTTCCTTCTTTGTTTTTCCCACTTTCCTCTTGAAAATTAGACCTAGCAACTGACTTGCACTGCACTGAGAATCTTACTCTGGCACCAGCATTATGGGCACATTGCTTTCTTTTAGCATGCGATAGGGCAGACACCACTTGGTGCTGCTACAGGTTAAACAGCCATTTCCATGCCTGTCCACAGTAGTAAGCTGAAGTTCATATTTTAAAAATAAAATACCACATTTCTTTATTAAAATAATAAATGAAAACATGATGCCTTATTTTGGAGGTAAAAGAGAGACAAACTCAACAAACCACTATAGAAAGGCACTGTGGTTGTTGTGGATATCTGTGGGGCTTTAGGAGAAACAACAAGCGGAAGAGAAATAATTATCAAGTTATAACATTTCATTAACTAAATCCAAGAAGCCCCAAATTCTATTTGAGCTCAATGAAACATTGAAAGGCCAGGAAGGCAAAATGTCACAAGATCACAATTTGTCCTATTAATTTTACCTCTTTTTCCTGTTGCTTAATTTTCTAATAAGAACATCTCTAGGGCCAGGGATTTAGCTCAGTGGTTCTGCCACCAGCCTCGCAAGCACAAGATCCCGAGTTCGATCCCCAGTACCAAAAAAAAGAACATCTCTAATTCAGTAACTTCTGTAGGACCAGTTAATGGTCTCATTTAGGGAGCTTGGTAGTTGCAGAGTTTCCTCATCAATGGAGATTGACTGTGAAAGTCAGCTCCAGAAGTCTGGATTCCCCTGTCCTCCACCCATTTCCCACGTGGCATTATGAAATTTAAAGAGCAACCTCTCTCGAGCAAATTTCCAGAGCTGAACGAAGGACAAGCATGCTGCTCATCAAAAGCTGCAGGGGAAAAAAGAAAAGGTGCATGATCTTTGGTGTAAAGATCCTAACATCTGTTCCAATACAAAAGCAATTTTTTTTCATTGTCTCCCTAATGTTAGGGCCTAGGTACCATCAGCCTACTGATAATATACCCTGAATTTTCAGCATGGCAGCTAGAAATTCAGATAGGATATATTGTTCAACAGGTAAATGCAGCATATCTTTTATGTCCTCCTGAGTTTTTTCTAGCAGCTGATAATTTTCAAATGTGTAAAAGATACATGATGTTTGATTCTGGCTACTAAGTCCACAGTTAGGCTACCAAAGATGGACTTGCTGTAGTTGCCATGGCCTCTTATTTTGAAGTGCCTGTGCTCAACATTACCAACTAGGTTTCCATATCAAAAACTTCTGGGGTTCCCTCCGTGATAGCCAATGACCTAGTATTCAATCACTGTTCCTTTCCTTTCTACAGGGAGTGTTTATCACTGACCTAGTGCCTATTGCCTTTCTTAGTCTGAAAGCCTTTAGAATCTTCACATTTTCAAGAGAAATGCCCCCTCTTGTGGTGCCTGCTGATTACTGCAGCCCTAGCTTCCGGCAGGAAAGCCCCAAGATGCCCAGTAACTTCCTACACCAAGATGGGCGGGGGATACCGGGGACTCCGGTCGGCTCTGTGTTGAATGTGTAACGGCTTCTTGCTGTGACAGCTGAATACTAACTGCACCCAGCTTTTAGATATAGGTTGAGCCATATGAAATTGCCGATAGTCAACCATTTTGACCTATAAACCAACAATTTCTTGTAATTCAATGTAATAAAAATAAACCAAGCAGGGAAACTTCTTAACCAAGCCCAGTTGGATGAATGCCAGCCAAAAATAGAGATGCTTGCTATTCTACTAACTACAATAAAAAGCTTTAAACATAATAAATAAATACTTATTTTTTAAGCCCTGTATGCTAGGTACTTGCCAAGTGCTGAACATAACATTCTCCAGTTTCTTGGTTAATTGGCAATTGGTTATAAAGAGCAGGCTTAGAAAACCGACTTTCCTATATTTGTTGTTTATTTGTTAAGGAACAGTAGACACATAAATGACAAAACTACTACTACCCCAGCTCAAGCAGCTGGTGCTCAAAAGGCAATATTTTTCTGAGGCAAAACAAATAGAGTAACACTAACTGAGGCACTATAATTCTTCTCATATATGTAATTATTTTCATAATGCCCTACTTATTTGTTGGTAATATGAGAAATTAGTGTAATTAATTATGTGAAGCAATCTTTTTCAGCAATCTTAATTCATACAGCTAGCAAATTTTAAAAATAGAATTCTGTTTAATTATACACTATTTAAAGTCATTGATATCAAAAAGGAATAAACATCAGCAACATTATGTCAGAGATTCCATAATAAATAAAGAGCCTATAAGATCAATAGGAAAAGGATGCAAAGAATGTGATCAAACAATTCACATTTTAAAAGCTGGCTTTAAACACGTTGAAAAGAAGTATTAGAACTATGAAAATGAAACCTATAGGGATATATCATTTTTATCTCTCAGCCTGGAAAAAGTAAAATGTTTGTTGACACACTCTTTTATAAACTTATGAAGAAGCAGACATTCATAACATTTCTGCCATAAGAATAAGTAGGTACAGGTCTAGATAGAACAACTTAACAAAACTGTCCACATCATAAGTATAAAGGCCCAACATAAGTATGTCCACAATGTAAGTAACTAGGCTCAAATTTCAAGCCTAGAAATAAATCATATAGACAAACATATATCTATTATTAATACAAATGTTATTATTTGAAGAATTACTTGTAATAGAACAAAACTGAAGACGACTCAAAAGTCAGTCAATAAGGATATAGTTAAATAAAGTACATTTACATCATGAAGTATTATCTACCTGTTAAGGAAAAAGACACATTAGAAGTTCGTCACACATCAACAAAGAGCATCTCCAAGAAAATTATTAGGGGAATAAGTCTGGAACATTGTACACAATGGAAAGACTGTATCTTCATTTTTGCCTTATAGTCATAAAGAAATTTCAGAAGGATACCCAAGAAAGTAATAACATTGGTCAATGGGAATGAGTGTGACCAAGCAGATTATGTAATAAAAACATTTCACTATGTTCTTATTTGAGGGAGGGGAGAACATGTGAAACTATCACATGTACAAAAATGAAAAGGCTGGGGTGTAGCTCAGGGTTAGAACACTTAGCTAGCATGTGTGAAACTCTAGGTTTAATTAACAGTACCTCAAAAAATGAATAAGTTTGATGGAATCATTTATGCTTATAGTTTAAAAACAATTACTTCTATCTTCAACAAATGTAATGAATCATGTGTTGATGTGTAGGAAGGGTGTAAATGAAACTGTTTAAGGGCTTTCTAGTACTTATTCCTTAATGGCAAACACCTTGCCTGGCCTCAGACAAGCCTCTTGCTGAGAACTTCTTCTCGGGACACTAAGAGCAACAGAATTTGAGACCCAGTGGAACACTTGACCCCACAATAAAAGCTCTGCTGTGTGCCAACTTTTCTTCCAGACCTCAGGCTGCTTTTAGCATGACAGCAGATGTCTGACAGCCAGCAAATGAGTCAGTGTTTCTTCTTTCATTAAGTTAGGTTAATACTTGATTTGAAAAACACTTCTCAGTTCTTCTGAGCCATGTTCTTCCTGCTACTGCCAGTATCAATCCATTAATTTGTAAGTATGAGCACTTAATATTTCTTAGGTGTATTCTAGGAGCACCTCAAAGCACAGCAGCTTGAATGATACATTCCAGAGTCAAATTTATTGGCAAAGATGGTTCACTCCTTATTGTTGACCTCCAAGAAGTTGAAATTTAATTATTTAGATCCTAAAGGTGAAATGAATACATGAAGAAGCCCACCTACAAACCCATGAAGAAATCAGAAGGGAAGATTTCATGAGATTGTTGAGCTTGGCAAAGTGATAAATGGTTCTTCTGCCTTTTGATCACTAAATATTAGTGGGTTTTTTTAAAAATACACACCTACACACCATAGGACAGAGGCAGTCAGTTTTACTGTCTGATTTTTCATATCTTCTCCCTTAAAAATGAGGGAGCTTGAGTTAGATCAATGTTTCTCAATCTTTCGCATGATCACCCCACTAAAGAGCCTTTTTAGACTATTTCCCTAATCATCCTCTGACATAAATAGTGATACAGAGTCATACATATTTTTGCAGTTAATTCATAAAGTATATAATTTTGCCCCCCTCCAAGAACCAATTTTTGCCTCCAATGAGAATGAGTGAATTATATCCAAAGAAGGATCCATAAAATTTGCAAAAAGTTGAAAATTTCTTCTACCTTTAAAACCAAGAGGGTGTGGTGGTGCTATGGTGTGTGCCGATATGTATGTACAGTACCAGATGAGTTTGCATCAAAGTACTAATCTACCACTTGCTTATCATGACTTCGAAGATGCCATTTAACTTCTCTGACCCCAAGTAGCTGCACGTATAAAACAGGTTTAGAGATACATTTCACAGGGTTGCTGTAAAAAGGAACTGAGGCAAAGAGTAAATAAAGCCCCAGCCCTGCTCATGTAAACCATCTGCAATTGGTGCCTTTCACTTGCTCAGTTTAAAACAAATCACACCTGTATATCTAAAAAGTGAAACACTGCCCCCAATAACATATAAAATAATTACAATTAATGACCCAAAAAACCTCTAATGGACTTTTTTTTTGTAGTGCCGGCAATCGAACTCAGGACCTTGCAAGGCAGGCACAGTGCCACTGAGCTAAATCCCCAGCCCTCTAATGTACTTTCATTTGTGTCTGTAGTGTAGCTCCAAATGCCAACTCCTTCCATTACTTCAAAATTCTGTTCCACTTTCACAACCAAAAACAAATGTCACCAGCTTCAAGGAAGCTTGCCTCAATTTCACCAAGTATAAATCTCCCCATTCTTTCAAATCACATAGTGTATTTTGCTTACAATATACTATTAGGGTGTCAAACATATTCTGCTTTATAATTTACATAGATTTTAAGTATAACAGTAGCTATATTGCTCTAAAAGATAATTATATTGTATCCCTTTATGCAATACACATCTGAAAACATACTCAATATAATAGATTTTCAGTAAATATTTTTAAACTAATGAATTAATGCTGCAAAGTTGGATTCTGGAGATCAGATGAAGTATTAGCACATAAAAGCAAAAGTAAGTCTTAAGTTAACATCTTAACCCTAGCATCCAAGTTAACATCTTAGTAGTCTTAAATTAATATCTGTGTTAGCATAATAACCTAGAAGTGTAACTAAAAGAGATAGAATTGATTTTGGTTTTGTCACTTTTTATTCCTAAACAAAACAGAACTCATGCTTGATATGTATTGGGAAGTAGCCTAACCCTCCCTGGACTAGCTCTTTTTAAAAATTAATGTCTGATAAATTGAATATTACCAGGAGGATTTTTTAAAAATCAATTTCTATGAGATGAGAAGATGAGCTTTTATTTGGGATTCTGTTAAAAGTGTGTAGTGTGTCTGTGTAACTGGACAGCCTTCTGGGTCTCCTACTCTATTACTGTTATTGGTGGTCATTCTTTGTCATGTTCTTGCCTTCCCTGGGGAAATTCTGTGATAAAAGAAACACATACGTCAAATGTAACAGCAGAAAGCAAAGAGAAGCCAGAAAGAGGGAGTGACTATGTGAAACATTTGTTTTTCAGACCCTATGATGTTTTAAGTATATACCTAATGCTTTTTACACATACTGAATAACCAGGCTAATTAAAAAGCCCATACAGCTCTGGTTAAAATCTGTTCAAATTTTTTGGAGCACCTGTTACAACAGAATGCCCACAGACTTGATAGTTTAGAGCCAAGACACCTGCTACCTTATGTCTCACAGTATGTTCAGTTTTATACTGTTAGCAAAAAAATAAACACTTTTTGACATTTAGTAATCTTATACAAGTGATATGAAATTATCAGGAAGGAGTGATAGTTTAACTCTTCTTGTGCTGCTCTGGAAAAACACACCCTTTCTTTCTAGAGGAAAATGGATTTCTAATACTGTCCCATGAACTGCTGACAGCTTCTTTGACCATCCTTAAGCATGTAAGGTGTTATACAGGGTCCAGGTTATCTTTTTGGAAGTTTGGAACAGGTATTTTCTAGTTTAAAGAAGTTCTCAGTGAGTTTACTTAGATATAAGCATCTAAATGATAGCCAGTTTACAGCCAACTTTTCAGTGAGCCCTCTAACAAAAAAAATCACTGATTTGACTTTGTCAGCTGTTAATAAAACTCCAGGAAAGGTTTAATACAGTTATGCCTAGTGATAGTTTTACAGAACTTCACTTGAAAATGCATTTGATTTGAAAAGAAAAATATAATAATTTTCTACAATTAAGGAAATTTCTCAGTCTAGATATATGTGTATATAGGAACATGTGAGTATTTCTTTTCAATTCAACTTTAGGGTTAGTGAAGAAGTCTTATGAAGATGATATTAAAGTGATTTTCAAGATACATATTTTCTAAATGGCTGCCATTTCATCTACCATATTTAAATTGCTTGAGGCCTGAACCCAGGTCTTATTTGACTATTAGCTTAGAGTTGGACAATTGAGTAATGCATATATCACTTTAGTGGAAATAAAAAGCTCCAATTTTATGATGTCACACGGTTTTTAAATTTTAACTCATGTTAATGACATTTCTATTAAAATCTGCCTTTGATCTAGCCATTTTGCTTATAGAATTGTATCCCTTAGCAAAATCATATATGTGAAGAAAGAAAATGTAAGAATATAATTTCCAGGATTGTTCAAATAGTAAAAATAAATGAAACAACATATCTTTTTTTTGGTACCAGGGATCAAACTCACGACCTTGCACTTATGAGGCAGGCACCAGTGCCACTGAGCTAAATCCCCATCCCTAAATGGAACAATATAAACCCTTTGATAGAGAATCAGTTAAATTAATTATAATAGTATAATAGAATATTAAATAGCTGCTATATGAATTAAATAGTTCTATATATGGTAATATGAAACAAGCACTAACACAGACTATTAAAACCACAAAATATAAAGCAAATAACCACACACACACACACACACACACACACACACACACTTGAAAATTCACATCAATCAGCTATCCTTGAAAGAAAACCCAGTAACTTACTAATAATGGTTATTTCTGTGAGTGAGAATCCAAGGATTAGGTAACAAAAATAGGAAAAATAATTATTTTTCACTACAAAACTTTTTGTAAGTTTAGCTGTTTGTATTACATGTACATATTACCTACTCAACATACTTCAAGATGCAAATTTAAATAGTGCATTAAATGTGGGAGAAAAAAAGGAAACGTGATACCTTGTAAACATACTTCAACATAACATAATATCCTAAAGTAATTCTAATTTTCCAGACTGTTACTGAATTAGTTCCAAATCAGTATTTAACAATATAAATCACAATTTAATGTCTAATTATCATGATGAAAACAGCTTTTGCATGTTAAATGTGTATAGCTGTATTCAAATACAATCTGTTTTGACTTTTAACCAACATAACAGAGCTATGAATGATTTTATTGCATAATTAGAAAACAACCTAGGATATATTTTTATAAGATATTTTTAAAGATGGGAAACGTTTTTCAATGTTCCAGAGAAATGATGTTTTAATTCCTGTACACCTATCAGGAAAGAAATTTGACTTGTATTGGGAACCTGAGAAACGACAGATCAGCAAGCACCTTGTCACTTTGTGCTGGAAGCACCCCAAAACCAGGACTCCTGAGGCCTATTTCCTAAAATGGACAAAAATATACCATGTGACTGACTGCTCCAATGCTTGCAATTGCAGAGCCACATGTGGTGTACAGACCTGTAGGTCCCCATATTGCTGGTCACAACCTACTCTGGGAACTATCATAAAGCAGAAGACTTCCCTTCAAACATCTCTTCTCCCCAGTGTGGGAAGACATAAACACCCTTTTATCTTCAAGAATCTTCAATCAACTAGCTCCCCCAAACCATCAGATGAACACACTAAAATTATAATATACTGCTTTTTTACATTTTAAAAGAGAGTACTAAATTCTGGCTTGAATTAGCATAAGGAGCAAATTCTTAAGAAGGACTAGCAAGCTTTAATAAGATAGACTGGGGAGAGCAAATGAGGAGACTGAAGCTGACCAACTGAGACAACAGTCATACTGAGTCATCTCTGCAGCCTTCTTGATCAGTGTTGGATGGACTCTGAGGAGTCACACTATTGCCTCAAGGAAGTGCAATGACATGATAGTCATTGGCAACACCCACCAAGTCCCTGTACTTCTGGCTCCTCCCCTCTCTGCCCCACAGTAGGTCTGTTTCCTGGCTCCTTGTGAGATGAGTCCAAGTGACAATCCAAGCCAGCATGGGTAAGAAGAGGTGATGGATAATACTGCTGGGGCTGTTTCAGCTGCTCAAAGCTGATGTAAGAGCCTGATGAACTTTCTTTCCCTCTGGTAAGAAAACCAGCATTTCCAATAACAAATGCTCTGTCAACTGAGTCCTGGAGTAGGACATAAACCTATGTGAGACAGGAGTAAACCTTTGTGGTTTTAAGCCACTAACATGTGGGGAGTTATTTTTCACTGCCATATAACCCAAGCTCTCCTTAGGGAGTCTCCTTACAGATACATATGAGAGATAGAGTAAATACACACAGGTAACTCATATTTTTTGTTTTGGGGTTTTTTTGGTTTTTGTTTTTGATACAGTGTCTTGCTCTGCAGTTTAGGCTGGCCTTGAGCTCACCATGTATCCCAGGCTGGCCTCTAACTCTCCGCAATCCTCCTGCCTCAGCCTCCTGAGTTGTGGGATGACAGGAGTACATCGCCACAACCCGCTGCATTTTGGATTTTGAATTTTCAGATGAAGGCTGCTCAAACTGTATAAATTTGAGTAATATGAATTATTTAAAATCCAGAATATCTCCAACCTTGTGCAACTATTTCAAACATCACACTCATTTATAAGTATGCCTGGAACCATGAATTAGAACAAAAAGTGAAGCAAGAAAACAGACACTTAATACTACTGGGATATTTCACTATAAGAAGAATCTATTTCATTCATGCTAATTAAGAGAAAGATTTGACAAGTTAATACATTTGTATTTTCACTTATGTAAGTGTTTCCACTGCTTAAATTATCATCTGGATTCTAAATAGTGTTTAGTTCCAATATCACCAGTGATTCATTCGCATGCCTTCATGCCACTTGAACAACTGACCTTTGTTTTGAGGAAGCCAAGAAAATTGAAGAAGCATTTCTCAGGCCTGAATGATGTCAATCATGAGAGTGAATATTTAAGTTACCATGTGACAGAGGTATTCATGTGTTCTTTAATGAATTTATTTCTTGTGTGATATAAGGGCCCTTCTGATGTATGGGTCCTGGGCAGAATCCTCTTGCAACAATGATGAAGGACATTCCAATGAGATCAACTTTATAAAATTCTACAGATGAGTGAGATCATTTCACTTAGAGATTTTGCAAAAAAGTACATGTATAGGAGCAGCAGAGCAGTGTGTTCAAACTGCCTGGGTTCCAATCCTGGCTCTACCACTTACCAACTAGGTGGCTTTGGAATTCGCACTCTGCAGAGCAGGAAGGGTCATAGTATTGACCTCATAGGGTTCACATGCAGGGTGAATTAATAATGTAATGTGCTCATAATACTGGCTGTCATAAAGTGTTTTTGTTGTTATGTGTGGTCTAGTTTCTGAACAGCTGATAGGGACAGAGATAGTGTCTTCCTCAGAGATGTGCTGAGTAGTAGATGAGTTAAAATATGGAGGACACTTGGAACAATGCTTGACACAGAGGATATGCTGTTTGCTAATTATGTCATCACCATCATCATCATTAGTTTTGTATTTCCTTAGCCTCCCAACACATGACAAAAAAGCATTTTATCTCTTTCACTCAGAAATGAAAATTCACCATCAGAAAAAATGTTCCTCAAAACTTTACGTATTAGTGGTGCTCATCCCAGCTGTTTTGTTTTGTTTGGCACAAGCACACTGAGGCATGAGGTATACCCCCAGAAGCAGCAAGGAATGCTATCTGGATATTTTGAGACTATTTAAAAGGTTAGAAGAAACAATGAATAGGGGGAGAGTTAAACTTCAGTGAAAACCAAACAATGGAGAAGAGTGTGAGGCATTTGAGAAACTCTGAGAGATAGAATTTCAAAGAGTTATTAAGGAATTAGACTTAGAATGAAACAGGGAAATCCCAGCACTCTGAGAGGCTGAGGCAGGAGGATCACAAATTTGATCTGGGGATGTAGTCCAATGTGAAGGCCTTGGCTTAGATTTCCAGTACCACAAAACAGAAAAACAAAGAGAGAAGAAAGGAAAGAAGGGAGGGAGGGAGGGAGGCAGGAATCCAAGCACACTGTCATTTGAAACATGAGGTAACGAAGAAATGGTGAGAATGGCAGTGCCAAGAATGCAGAAAATTTTATGTTTGTTAACAGAATTTTGGAAAATGTCTCCCTGGTAACCTTAATTTTTCCCTACAAAATAGGGAAGTGAAATCTGCCAGTAGTAAGGATAGATTTGGTGAGATTCGGATTTTGAAGGAAAGAATAAAGAAAGTCTGAAATAGTCTGTGTTGAGAAGGAGAAAGATGACAGGACAGTATTAAGGGCCTACATGGGTTGACTGGCTCCGCACACATGATGCAGCTGGATGGTTTCCTTCAGCAGTGCTCAGAAGTGCTGTATTAGTACATTGGAGACACCTGGCTGGGTGGGGCTTTTCCAGCTGTTACAGTAGAAGGAAATAGAAGCTTCAAGATATTGACAGCACAGAGCATGAAGTGATAAACATCAATGTCTGACTTGATTGACAAGGAAGAGGACAGAAAGAAGGTGAGGTGTATCTAGGCATGTGTTGAGACATGGTGAGAGTTGCCTAATGCATCTTGTTATTGTAAGACAGTGTAACTATGGTCAGAGATTCGAATAGTTCAGAAGTTAATAAGTCTGGATTATGACAATATCAGGATGTCACTCTGGGAGAAAGTGCTGAAGAGAAAAAAGTGAAGATTCTCCGCAATGAGAAAATATAGATATTGAAAGGTCAGGCAACTGAATTGTGTATGTTTGTTAGGCTTTCCAAAATAAACTACCACATACTGGGTGGCTTAAATAGCAGGATTTATTTCTTCATAATTTTGGTGAATAAAACTCTAAGATCCAGAGAAGGAGAACCTTCTGGGCCGCTGTACCACCACCCTGAGCACAGAGGAGCAGAGCGGCCCCCAGCACAGAAGACGTGAAACTTCTGGGCCACCAGACCACCAACCTGAGTGCCAAGGAGGTGAGTGCACTAGCAGCACACATCCTCCCTCCCCATACCCACTGATATGAGAAGACACATAAACAAGTCTCAAAACCAGACTTCCAGATCACCTGAAGCAATGCCAGAGGGAAAAGAGATGGAACCATCTGGTACTCAACCACATGGACTCCCTGAACTGGCAACAAAACAGGATTTGGAAAAAATGGAGTGAGAAATAATTTCTCAGGTAACAGCAGAGATTGTGTCCATAGTGCAGGACATGATTAATAAATCTAGAGAGGACACAGATGAAAAAATAGAGGAGTTAAGGAACATGATGGAATCCCAACATAGGAAACAAATGGAATCCATAAAACAGATACAAACAGATATCCAGGAGATAAAAAACTCCATTCAAAGTTTATGCAGCAGAATGAGCCAATGTGAGGACAGAATTTCAAATATAGAAGATAAGATTGCAATTAGTGACCAGGAAAAGAAAAAGTTCTTTAAAATAGTAAGGAATCAGGAGAAATCAATCCAGCAGCTGCTAGATAATGCAAAGAAGAATAACACAAGACTTACCAGAGTCAATGAAGAAACAGGAGAGAGTGCAGATGACATAAAAAAGTGTTCACAGAAGTGATGGCAGAAAACTTAACAAGTAGGAGAAAAGAATTTGACATACAGATAAGTGAGGCATATAGGATTCCAACTAGCCTTGATCAAAAAAAAATCTACACATAGGCATATAATAATTAAGATTTCAGAAGCCCAACAGAAGACCAAAATTTTACAAGCAGTGAGAGAAAAGAAACAAATCACATACAAAGGAAAGCCCATCAGAATCACAGAAGACTTCTCAATGAAAACTCTCAAGGCAAGAAGAGCTTGGAGTGACATATTTCAAGCCCTAAAGAAAGATAGCCTCCAACCCAGATTGATGTACCCTGCAAAACTATCTTTCAAAATTGATGGAGAAATAAGATACTTTCATGACAAAGAGAACCTTCGGAAAACCTTCATGAATACCAAACCAGCACTCCAAAAAATTTTAGACAATATTCTAGGAAAAGACAACGAGGATCACAACCCCAGGAACGACAGCAGAGTGAATCCATCAGACACAACAAGAAATTAAATGCAAAGGGGGAGAATCCAACAAAAATAAACAGTTATGACAATGATAAGTCAATATGTATCAGTTATAACCATCTATGTTAATGGTCTCAATTCACCAATCAAAAGAAATAGACTGGCAGAATGGGTCAAGAAGCAAGATCCAATAATATGCTGCATACAAGAAACACACCTAATTCAAAAAGAAACTCATAGACTGACTGTTAAAGAGTGGGAAACAATACTGCATGCAACAGGAACTGGAAAAAAAGCAGGAGTAGCTATCCTCTTTGCAGATCAAGAGGATTTCAAACCAACACTGATTAAGAGAGACAAAGAAGGACACTACATTCTTATAAAGGGAACAATCCAAGAGGAAGAGATGACAACTATAAACATATATGCACCAAACACTAGTGCACCCAACTATGCAAAACAAATACTAACAGACATAAAAAATCAAATAAGCACTAATACAATGGTAGAGGGGGACCTCAATATACCACTGTCACAAATAGATAGATCAACTAGACAAAAAATAAGCAATGAAATACTAGAATTCAATCAAACTCTTGAACAAATGAACTTAACAGATATTTACAGAGTTCCACCCTACAAAATCAGAATACAGAATACAGAATGCAGAATTCTTTTCAGCTGCACATGGGTCATTCTCCAAAATTGACCACATACTCGCTCATAAAACATGTTTAAGTAAATGCAAAGGAATTGAAGTTATCCCCTGTGTATTATCAGACCATAGTGTGATGAAATTGGAAATCAAAAGCAAAAGAAACCACAAGAATTTCATAAACATATGGAAATTGAACAACACACTTCTGAATAACCAATG